CCTAGGTTCCCGACCTCAATCTACCCTCAACTGCTGAAAGACTCTTACCAATGTCGACCACCTACCCCATGAATATAGTCATATGCAACAAAGATCAGATAATCCTTCGAGTAAAAGACTCAACCCTAGAACGGTTAGACTCAAACGAGAGTTGCGCAATAGGGTCAAATACATCACTCTTAGATTATTTAACATGTACCGCATATGACTTAACATATTCACTTAGTAGTTGATCCACATCACTAAGAATCCCACAAAACACAAAGCAAGCAGCATTCAGGCAACGAAAAATCTAACCAGCATACACTAATCAAGCCATTCTATCCACTGATCTGAACACCATACTAACATGCAATTTTAAAAGCTGATACAATCAGGCATATAAAGGCATCTCTCTTATCATATAATATTGAGCAAATCCTTAGCCCTAATCTAGCATGCAATTCTCATAATCATATCACATATCATAATAAACATGTATCGGTATTCTGGGAACCACTAACTTGAGCTCGGCCGATTGCACGCATCACACCCTTTTCTCTTATTAGAAATTAAATGTTTATTTTATAAATATTTTCACCAAACCCTCAGTTTGAGTTCAAGCACAACTGAGAGTATGCCCAAATCCCTCAAATCAAGGCTCGGATACCAACTTGAAACATCCCAAAAATCAAGGATAAAAATTTCATTTTTATTATATTCAAAACACTATTGTAAACTTTTGTCCAAACATTGAAAACAATTTAAAATAAAACAATTATCAGAGTTCATTCCCAAAGACCACATGTTGTGGAAAACACAGGTGTATGCGCTGCGATCGTCCCGACCTCTTTCATTTGAAAACTGGAGTACCTGAATCATAAACTGAAAACCGTAAGCACAAATCTTAGTGAGTTCCCCAAATACCACATACCATATAAGAAACATACAATAATCATCTAGGAGGCCCCGCCCGTCAACGGGCCCCGCGTGGCTTCGATCCCTGTCCGGCATCGGGCCTCGCCCGACATCGAGATGAGCTCGGTAAAATGCGCTCCTCCCAACGTACAATAACATATATCAAATAAACACATGCACATGCAATATCACAGAGATACATAGCATACGAATATCCATCAAGCCGTGCCCGACATCGGGCCTTAGCCCGGAAGATGTATAAACATAAACACATGCAAGAGTCACAAAAGCAACTAGCATACTAACAAGATAATATAAACATGTCCCAGCCTTGGTGCCTTCGACCCGTTAAACCCGGTAAGGACACTCACCTCGAATGAAGAAGCACGCCGAAAGAAATCCGTAGCTGCTTCCCTGACGACACCTCCGAAGTCAGATCAAAACAACACCCAATTAACAATTGGGTTCCAATCGATAACCACAACTCCATTCCTGGGTTAAAAAAGACCATCTTACCCCTAACCTAGCCTTACCCAAAATTATGACCCAAACTACAGTCTGAAAGACCCAAAGGCCCACTAATCAACCAATGGCCCAATTTTCCAAATTGGTCCCAAACCCAATACATGGCCTTGCCTCAAGGCCCAATCACTATTTCTAATCCAAACACTTTGTATCTCGATGGCCCATTAATAACTAAAGGCTGAAATACCAGAAAGCACTAGATCCATAAAAGCCCACTAATGGCCCAATTTTCCAAATTGGGCTCAATCCTATACGGGCCTTATCCTAAGCCCACACTTTCCAACTCAGATTGTTGTAAACACCCCTTGGGATAAACTTGATCAAAGGCATGAGTCAAAAGTCAAAGTCAACAACCTGAGTTCACCCAACTCGCCGAGTTCCTCTGACAACCGCAAAGTCGGGAAGAAACCGGCCCAAATCGTCGAGTTGTCTAATCAACTTGCCGAGTTGACCCTCACCAACTCAGAATCGGGGAAAACAAAAACAACTCGCCGAGTTGGCTATCCAACTTGTTGAGTTCGCCCAGGATCAAACAGCTCAACCCATTAAGCCGACATATTCGAAACTAACAGCTTCTCCTACTCAAATTTTAACTAAAATGGCCTTAATAAGGGTAAAGTTTCCAAATTTACCCCTAAGAACCACCAAATCGGTTCAAAACCCAAACCCTGACTTAAAAGGGTAAGGACTTAATCATTAAGCACTTAATCCACAAGCACACAACTTCAAGATACATATCTGACCATATGAGGCTAGGTGGCCATGTAAAGTTTCCAACTTTACACTTATTCATGCTTAGAGGAAGCTCAAAAGCTTAAAAGAGACCAAAACAAGGAATTAATTAATACATGAAGCCCTTAGGACCATAAACTTGGCACCTTTATGCCAAAAGAACTCATAAAGATCATAGATCTGGAAAGGACAAACACTTGGGCCATATACTTCCTCAACAATCACCCAACCATGGTTAAAAGCATACAAATAAATCCAAGAAGATATCTAAGCCAATACTAAGCAAGGTTAGAACTTTATACCCAAAATCGGCTGGAAATGGGGAAGAGAATCAAGATCTATGAGCTCCTTCTTGAACCACCACCTTGCACCAAGCTTCTCCTCCTTGAATGAGCTTCAAACACACACCAAAACACACCCAATGGACTCACAACACTCTTGGAAGCTCTAGGGTTTGGTGATTAGGGTTAAGGCTAAGGAGGCTGGAAATGAGGCCAACACCTGGAACTTAAAGTGTTTAAATAGGATGCAAAATCCAAAAATTAGTGTTTCCTAAACAGCGCCCAACTCGTCTAGTTTCCTTCACCAACTCGACAAGTTGGTCCTCAAAAACACGCGTCCCAAAAGCTTTCAACACGTCGAGTTTATGCCACAAACTCGACGAGTTGGCCCCTAAAAAGATAATTTATTTCCATAATTGACCTTCTAGGTTCTGAATGTTACACGGTAACTTATATTTATAGTCATAGGTCGTTATTATTAATATATAAAAAAAATTATCAGTAATTTCATGTCGTTATACTGATTGATCTACTTATGGGAGATGTGTCTAGAATGGTCACATTGGCTTGGTTGGTGGATTTCAAAAAAGCTAATATGTCGAAATGGTCCTGCCTCCCAACTGTCCTGCCTGGCTGATCGTTACTTGATAGATCTTGATGTAAACGTTAGGATTAATGAGAAATCTCGACTATAGTTATTATATTCGTCGGGATTATGAAACTAGACTAATACTTGGTGTTATACATTTCGTTCATTGAAAGTGCTAAGGCGAGGTTCTGCCCAAATTCCAAGGCATCCACTTTTATCAAGTGAGTGCATAGTTACTTTCATCTTACACATAGATATTAAGTATCTAGATAATTACATACTTTATGTGCTTATTATCTATACCAAAGATAATATGTGTTAGATAAAATAATATGAGATGATAATGATTTAATCATATAAATAGTTTCACTTATCAATATGAATTGGGTAGTGATGGGCGATGAGAGATAAGTGATGACAGAAAGGTGAGGAGAGATAGATGATTATAAATAGGAGATGATATATAGGTGATGAAAAAGAGGTGATACGATATGAGAGATGATTAGGAGATGCTATAACCCTGACCTGCGATGTTGTGATGTAGTCATCTACTAGAGCATAGATGGCGACCACTAACTAACCAAAACAAGTCATGTGGAAACACCGACAGGCTCATAACCTGTAAGTGTTGAATTACAAGTTTAGGCGATGTTGTAACTACGTAATTCATGCGATGATACTCTAACCCTTATTGGATACATAAGTGATGAATTACGATTGCAGGCGATCTTGTAACTACATAATTCATGTGATGATACTCTAACCCTTATAAGAGACGTATTGGGGGAGAAATCCCTGAAACAATACTGTCTATGCGATGTAGGTGATGATCCCCAGGAAAAAAAACCTTAGCAGTAAGGAAATGCGATGTAGTCGATGACAAATAGGAGATGGCCCATAGGATAAATCCTTAGGAAATAATAGATAAGAAAACGAGGTTAGGTAATTGGGTAAATTGTTTGATTATTAAACATATTAACTATGTCATTTTGGGTTGAAAACCCATGTATCTCATCAAGTTTCCCAACATGACCCACTCAGTTTCTTTGTATCACAGGAAGTAGTACAAAGATATTGATGTTCGGACTTGATGAGAGATTCGAGGAGATATAGACTATAGAATAAAAGATGATGTAAGGCCTATGTTTTGTATCAGTTATGACATCCCAAGATTTATAATGTTAATGAAAAACATGTCTTGAAAAATACTTTACGGGACCAAATTCTGCATTTCATAAATAAACTTTGTTTTAAAGCATAAACAAAAAGTTTTAAAATGGCCGTAAATTTGGGGGTGTCATATTTTCTAAGTGTATTCTTGCTAGCCCTTGGATGAGCACTGAATGCTGTCATCGCTGGGAGCGCATTCTCCACGAACGTTTTCATTCCGAAATGGAATCTTACTTATCACTCCCATATTTCCAGCCAAGAGGTTGTTGTGGAGTTTTCCCGTAACGCTTTTCCTAAGTAAACTGTCGCTTAGATGAAGGCTTTCTCAGATGAGCAAATAGTTGATTTCCTAGAGTTCACTTCTGTCTAAACCGCCTTTTTCCTTACTGTTGCAGCTCGATGTACCAAGCGCTTCTAGAGTGTGGTGGTCAAGTTCCGTTCTAATGAGATGGACTTGCCGCAACATGTGGCTTTACTGGAGCCCAAGATTAAGTCTTCCACCAGTAGCTGGATTTGATGGTTGGCGGAAAAATGACCCTTGAGGAGCGGTGTGTGAACGTGGAAGCGAAACTCCATGACACTCTTTAGAAAAATTAAGCTTTGAGTGTTTGTGTGGAAATCCTAGAGAGAGAGTTGTTAGATAAAGAGAAGGTATTGTAAGGATTGTGGAAATCCTTGATCGTGAAGTAGAGGTGTACAATATTGGTAGTGATTTAGATTGGCTCATTAACGAGGGTGTTGTAAGGATTGTGGAAAATATCATTGAGCTTCCTGGATTTGTATAGGGTGTTGTTCGAATCAAACATATGTGTTGGGCTGCTGGTGAAGAATCTGTTAGGGAGGCGATGCACATGGAAATTGTTGTTGGGACATTTTATCCCAATGTTGCTAGCTTTACTTCCATCCACACTGGGGAAATGGTGGATGTTGTTGATTCGTTTGTCACATATGACTATGCCACCCTGATGAAGTTAGGCTCTTTAGACATCAATGGTCTTTGTCAACTTTGTGCTGATGAAGACAATGGTGGAGCAGGTCCCATCGGTACTTCAAAAGTTATTGTCCTGGATGGAGGCATGGGTATGTGAGGGGTGCCCTCGTTTTTTAGACATTCTTCCCAATGTGCTGCCCTGAATGGCAGTGATAATATAAATTATTCCTATTCTTTTTCATGGCCCTTCATGGCCCTAATATGCCAGGTTTGGGCTTGTAACTGAACAGTGATTTCTTTTTCTATATATACTAAGACATGCTTTTTTTTGACATGACAATTTCTCTAACTTTAACTTTTCTATGTTCTTTCTTTATTGCAAATCTTGTGTGGCTGTTTATGTAATCGGTTTATCTCTCTTATTTTTTTTTTCATAAACATGTAGTTGGGATGTGCAACCGTGTGACTTTTTAAGCAAAGGTTGTAATCCTTTGAACTAGAACAAGGCAGGGCTAAACTGCATGCTGCCATGTAGAATTAAATACTGAAACCATGCAATTCTCTTTGGTAAAGGTTATAATCCTTTGAACCAGAACGGACAGGGATAAACTACCTCCTACCATGCAGAGTTGGGTATGGAAACCATGCAACTCACTTTGGTAAAAGTAATAATCCTTTGAACCAGAACAAGGCAAGGTTAAACTGTCTGCTGCCATGCAGATTTAGGTATTGAAACCATGCAACTCTCTTTGGTAAAGGTTGTAATCCAACGAACCACAATGAGGAAGGGCTAAACTATTGTTGCTATGTAGAGTTGGGTATTGAAACCATGAAACTCTTTTTGGTAAAGGCTATAATCCTTTGAACCAGAACGAGGTAGGGCTAAACTGCCTGCTGCCATGTAGAGTTGGGTATTAAAACCAAGAAACTCTCTTTGTTAAATGTTAAAACCCTTTGAACCAGAAAGAGGCAGGGCTAAACTGCCTGCTCCCATGCAGAGTTGGGTATTAAAACCATGCAACTCTCTTTGGAAAAGGTTATAATCCGTTGAACCAGAACGAGGCGGGACTAAACTGCCTGCTGTCATGCAGATTTGGGTAATGAAACCATACAACTCTCATTATTAAAGGTTATATTCCTTTGAACCAGAATGAGGCCGAGACTAATAAATCGTAGAATAAACACAAAAGATCACTACCCAGTGTGATCAACCATGGGTGTTATTTATTTAAATAATACTTAAAATTTTATTACAAGGGAAGAGCACCTCTTATTCTTTGTCTCATCTATTCTTCTACCTCCCCCCTTTTTTATTTCATTTTTATTTCTTTTTTACAAGAAAAACTTTTAAAGGTGTTGAATATACCAAGTATAGGGGATTGTACATCCTTACATGGTTTCCAACTCACAGGAGCCGTTATGATGTGTTGCGGTTACTCTGTATGGTCATTCTCATGTTGAGCCTAGCTTTCCCCTTGTCTCACTATGGTTAACCTCATTTTCCCTGAAAACTAAATCTACGACTTTCATGTCTCGTCCTTACATCCGTTTGTTATAGTAATTTTCAGTGATGGATTTGTATATTACCTGGTGCAGCTGAGTTCTCTCTCTTTTTTCTTCAAGTAGTTCAAGGTTATTCCAAAGATCTCTATCAGTTGCCTCTTCGTTGAGTCCTTCCATACCACCGATCCCACGAGTAATTCCGGTGGCAACATTGCCTCCATACCAAATGCAAGGCTGAAAGGTGTTTCCTTTGTACTAGATTGTGGGGTCGTCTAATAGGACCATAATACATTGGGGAGCTCCTCAACTGAATTTCATTTGGCTTTACCCAATAGCTTCTTGATTCTTCTTACCAATGTTTTATTGGACACTTCTGTTCATCCTTTCGCCTATGGGTAAGCTACTGAGGTGAAACGTTGTTTTATATGTCTACCTTGACACAATCCTCAAAATGCGTTTTCAGCAAACTGGAATCCATTATCGCCAATTAAGGTTTTTGGTGTTCCGAAGTGAGTCAACATGTTATTCCACATAAACTTAATCATGGATCTGCTTTTAATACTTGCGTGCTTCGTTTGATTCGGTCGGTAGTAGGTTATGCAGCAAGTAATCATATATGGGAGCCATCCATCCTTTCTCTTCGTTTGTAACGACGTCTATGTATGTTTCGTCCATGCTTCGACTATTGAGTATTTCTACCCATAATTTTTTTGACAGGTGGATATAGGTTGTGGCTGCTAGTTTGCGTAATGCATCTACCAGCCTATTCTCACTTCTTTTGATTTTCTCTATTTTTAAGCTTTCAAATGAGATTGTCATCTCCCTTTCATTCATTGTGTATTTCTTCACTCTTGTGTACTTTGTATCATACATCCCGTTTACTTGGTTCGTGAACAACATTCAATCGGTCATGACCCTTAGACTTTTCACTCCTATTTTGCGATCCAACCCTAATCCCGCCAGTAGTGCCTCATATATAGCTCCATTATTAGTGGTTTTGAAGTCGAATCTCAACACATACGTTATCTCATTTCCTTCAGGGTCGATAAGTATAAGTGTTGCTCCTGATCCTTCCATGCTTGCAGCCCCATCAGTGTGCAATACCCACACTTGGTTGCCGACCAAGGTCCCATTGTTCTCTTCCAATTGCATGGAAATTGGGTTGCATTTTTTGTCTGACACTTATATTAAGAAGTCTTCTAGGTCCTGCCCCTTTATGCTTGTTTTGGGGTGACAATCTATGTCGTGCTCCTACAACTCAATGGCCTATTTTATCAGTATTCCAGATTTCTCAGGTTTTAGCAAAAGGCTTTTGAGGGGCTTGGTCGTTAAAACCACTATTCGATGAGCTTGGAAGTAGCGATGTAGCCGCCTGGCTGCATATACTAGTTCCAACACCACTTTGACAACAATGGGGTAATTCAATTAGGCCCCTTGTAGCGTTCTACTGATGAAATATAAAGGAAACTGCTTGTTTTTTCTTTCTACTGTCAGTACAACGGAGATTGCCTCTGCCGTGGTGGATGGGTACATTGACAGGGTTTCTCTTGGGATAGGTCTTGCCAAGGTTGGGACTTGCCGAAGAGCCTTTTCAACTCATGTAGGGAGCGTTTGGCTTCAGGTACCCACTGAAAATTATGCTTGTCAACACATCCTTTTAACTTCTGGAATAATGGCATTGCCTTATCAGCTGATCGTGCAATGAAGTGTCCCAGGGCAATAATTTTTCAATTTAGAGCCCGCATTTCCTTTAAGCTCCTCGATTCTATCATGTCTAGTAATTCAAAAACCTTTTCCAGGATTGGTTGGATTCCTTCCTTTGATATATAATATCCGAAGAACTTCCCCTCTTGTACATCGAATATGCATTTCTTTGGGTTTGACTTAATGTGTACCTTCTCAACAGTTTTGAGAGTCTCTTCATTGTTCTGGCTTTTGATCACCATGTCGTCTACGTACACTTCTATATTTCTGTCGATTTGATCTTTGAGTACCTTTTCAACAAGGCTCTGGTAGGTGGCTCCAACATTCTTAAAACGAAAAGGCATTTTTTGTATAACAAAATGTTCCATGATCGGTGTAGAATGTTTTCTTCTCTTCATCTTATTTCTTCATTAATACGTGATGATAGCCTTTATATGCATCGAAGAAACACTTCTATTTGAAGCTTTGTAATGATTCAATTTGCTGTTCTATTTTGGGATATGGGTATGAATCTTTAGGATAGGCTTTGTTTAGATCTGAGCAATCTATGCACATTTTACAACTTCCGTCAACCTTTTTTTACCATAACCGGATTGGCTATCCATACAGGGAAAAAGGCTTCACATAATATTTTTGCATCTACAAGTTTTGCTACTTTTATGTTAATTTCTATATTTCTTTCTCCTACGTGTCCACACTTTTTCTTCTTGAAAAAGACTTTCTGTTCTGTTTAGTGATTTATCCTACATGTATGTTGAGCCCATGCTCGATTAGTTTTATGTCTATCCCCACCATGTATGTTGGTGTCCATGCAAATACATGATTTTATTTTTTTCAATAGGTATACCGTCTTCTCCTGTATATCGAGGGGTAACTCTCCTCCTATTCTTATCTGTTGCTCGGGATAATTGTTATTGATTATTTCCTTTTCTTTTGGCATGTCTTCCCATTTTTGCTTCATTCCACTGGTGATCTTTGTGTATTGCATGATTTGATAGCATCGATGCTTCATGTGACTTTCGACCACCACAATCGATAATATTGTGCTCTGCCGGGTGTCGCACTACTACGAACTAGAAGGTTTTTAGATCGGATAAAAACAAGATATAATGAAGAACAAAAGATTATCACAACGATGGTTTTTCACTAAGAAAAGTTCTCACAAATATAACAATCATACAAATCGGTTCACAAAGCATAATTATGGTTTAACCCTAATACACGATTATACGATTACAATAATAGAAATCCCTTTATTTAAGGAATGTAATCTAATATATCTATAGTCTGATCCTAATAACCAAGATTATAGATCATGTAACGCCCGCGTGTCTGGGCTAAGCATTAATGATGATATAATAGTCTAGGTCAACCATTGGAACTAGTTTTGAAGTAATAAGAATGAATTATGTGCTTTAAACTTAATTATTATGATTAAGAATAAAAATAAGCGTCGAAAATTAATATTAGATAAAGCCGATATCTATTAAGGAAGTTGTAGTGATCGTGACAAGGATTCCGGATATATAAAGAATGCCGAAATCCGAGTTATAACGAAGAAGTTATGACCTCTCAAAGTTTCACGACAGAACCGGTACGTCACTGCGTGACGTAAATAGTGAATTTACGATAAAACGATTTTTAGCCTTAGTGATCTAAACGAAAGTCGTAGAGTTCGTTAAACCGACAGCGTCCATAAAAAGAACGCCTAAATCTGAGTTCGTACGAGGAAGTTATGATTTTTCTAAGTTTCGACTTAGCAGTATGCAGCCCAAAACTCGAAATTTAGATCGAGTGATTTTTAGCCGAAACAATATAAACGAGAATCGAAGATCTCGTCGATATTAGTGCAACGGTAAAAAGACAGACGAAAACGGACGTCAGATGAAGAAGTTATGAATTTTTAACGAACTTTTCCTATCCCTGCCCGTTAAAAATATATTATTAAAA